CCCCAAAACCCCAAAACCCCAAAACCCCAAAACCCCAGTTCAATAAATAATGGAAGAATTAGTATATTAAGAGTAGGATTATAATAATTGAAATTAATTTCTTTGAAGTAAAGTTTAATTATGATCTAAGTAATAGTTCACTTTAATATCTAAATGACACATATTTGATTGTATATACCTCTAATTAATGGATTGACTATTTTCAGCTTATTGGCTATTAGTTAATGTTTTCAATGATTTAAATGTTTTCTTTATTGGTTCCTTACTTTTCTTATTCATTTATTGGAGCTACTTTATTTATGAGCTGTCTTTTTTTCAATTTTTCAGGAACAACTATAATGAAGACTTAAAGTGAAGCAATCAAAATCAAAAACAAAGCCATTGCATCACTTACAGTTCTAAAATTTGTGTGCTCACTGATATAACCCCCAAATATGGGACCAGTCATTCCTCCAATAGCATAAAATGAATTGAATAAAGCACTGACCAGATCTTTCACCTAGACTGGATTAAATTTCTTATCAATATGTGAATCAATACTTGTGGTAATGATTGAAAAACTAGTTATCATATTGAATGGAGACGATAATCCTGATATTAAGAGTCCAATGCAAGTGATATACAATTCATCAGGAAGAGTTAGGAATTGACTGGGACCAATCAATAATGCTCCCCCTGCCATAAATAGCTGGGAAATAACTACAATCAAAGTAAGGTTATATTCTTTGTTAAATTTTGGAGTAAAATGAGTCATAATCATGAATCCCACTGATTAAATAGACTGAATTAAAGCAATAGACCAAGGTTCTAAACTATAAACTCTCATCAAATGGTCAGCAATTATTGTATCATTTAAAGTATAAGTGTGAACACTTAAAGCGATTGCAACACACCCGAAAAATCCTCTTTTGGTAAATAATATATGACTGTAGCCAACATTTTCAAATATTTGTACTTATTACTCAGCCACTTATTTTTCTTCGAAAGACTCATTAAGAATATCTATTGCTCTAGGACCAGACTCAATATCTTTTATCGAATTTATTTATTATGCTTCTTGCTCATCTTCTTGTGTTGACTTAGTTTCAATTGGTTATTCAATATCAGATGTTTACCTCGATTTCTAATGAAATTAGCAAAAGTTAATATTTAAGTTTAGATGATATATTTAGTGAATGGAAGTAAAAAATAAAAATAAATGTAGACTTACCATTTCCTTAATGACTCTTTAATTAATACCCAGTTTGTTTGATTAGATCTTTTCCTCTGAGCTTTTAAATATTTCATTGAGCCCATACACTCCAATTTGTTACGAAATTTTAGTTGATTTTGTAAATACTTCAACTGGCTGAATTTTAATTGTTCTAAATAAATATTCAGAGATAGAAGAAAAATATATAATTTACTTTTTTTCATTAGGTGTGTTTACAAAATTAATAAGCTTGTCTTGGAAAACTCCAAATAAAAAGAACAAAAATGCTAAATAATTAAGTTAAGGGAAATAGAGTTACCACATAAGGCAAAGGGACCTATAAATCCAATTGCATATGAAAGAAAAGAAGAGATGAGTAGTCCAATAAAACCACCAAATGCTAAGGGTAAAAATTGAAAACAGAAATTAGCTTACTGTCCCCAAATTCAAGCCAGGATATTAGTTGCTTTTCATATTCAGGAAATTGAAGAACTAACTCAGAGAAAGCTAATAAATTAGATCAAGAAGAAAATAAGATACCTGCTGTTTAGAGCAGACCTGCTCCAATTCCTTGCAAGGTTCTAGCGAAGAAACCAAGGAATAAAAAGTAAGCACTAAAACAAAAAGTAAACTTCAGAAAAAATTTAATTTATATTCTTACACTTATTCAATGAAACTCATTGAAATGTATAGTAAAGCTGCAATAAATTGTAAGAATAAACCAACTCTAAGCATTAATTTTCTTCCAATTCTTCCTTAATACTTTCCAGCTAGAAGTGAGGAAAATAAAAATGCTATATTAAAGCATCTAATATAGGTATTAAAAGGAAGGTATTACATGTAAAGTGGAGTGAAAAGTGCATTTGATACTCCCCTATGTATTAGTTGCTCTGGGAGAATTGGTGATAAGATGATTGCAAATGCCTCCTTAATTCCATTGAGCAAAACAAGACTCAAAAATGTACTGTTTAACTTCATACGCTATTATGCTAATGTAGTAATAAATTATTTATTGATTAAGAGTCTATCTTATATTCAATATATTTAAAGTCTTCAACACTTATTATTCTTACATTATGGGGTTTTGGGGTTTTGGGGTTTTGGGGTTT